GAGATAAAACCAAGTTTCCTCTGGGGTTTTTAATGAAATTTATCAAAATTTCCGCATTGTTTTAATGGCTCGTTTTGTAAAAACCTAATAATATTTGTTATATTTCTGAACACCCGTGCACCCAAAACTCACCCACACTGTTTTTTGTGAATCGCATGATTCAAATAGTGCGCGCGGCCTCTGGTTGTATGTATGTAGCGGTTTCAATGGTTTAACGATTCGATTTAATCACCTTTTAGCGAGGCCTGATTTAATGAAATAAGGGCCAAGTGCATCAAAATTTTACTGAAGAAAATCTGCAGAGTGTGGAGGAAGAAACGTTAAAATCAAAAAATAATAAACTTTTGTTAAATATCGTAACTCATAATTCATAAAATATGTGTACATTATTTTATGTACTACAAATACTATTTAGTTACTTGGTTTTCTAAATTAAGGATTATGAATATATAATACCGATTAAATAATTTTATAAAATTATAGTACATTAAAACATTAAAAATATATAATACTAATTAATTTGCAGTTTAGCGTAAAAATGGAAAAATAATTTATTAATTTAACAAAGACTTCTTTCTTGATTTTTTCACTGCAAAAATTTCAATCGCCTAGTCAAAATTTAATTATGATGTAAAATAGTTAACAAAGACAACCCGTTTAAACGTTCTTGTGTCATACAAGACCTCAGACGTGTGTTTTTATTAGTTTCAATGCTGAAAAAGATCTCTCATTAGACACTGAAACAGTTGGTACACGGCATTGTCAAGTATATTTATAATAATATTTCAATATTAGAAAATGTATACCGGATATCCATGTTTATCCATGTAAATGTGTTAATTGACTTTGAGGGTCTATAATGTTACTTGAGGATTCTGGAAAAACTGTTTTTTTCAGTTCTTGAAATTGTATAAGCTCTATTAATTCATAGTACAAATATTCTGAGTACGTTTGTAGTATTAAATCAACGGAGTTAACAATATCTGACCATGTCATATTTTTGTATAAGAAACCAAATTTTTTTTCCAACAGTTTATAAGCACGATTACGTTTTACTAATCTATCGGATTAATGTTTAGGCTTTAGATTCCAATTCAAAGGTATCAAAACTATTTCTAACATCATAAGTGAATGCAATCAAAGAATAATAAACAGAAACAACAACAGATAAATTAGCAGTAGATTTTTGCAGATCTATAATATATTATATAAGTATTCTTTGTTCGTTGCAAAATAGAATTCCATAAAATAGTTGTGATACCAGTTTTTTTTTTTTTTTAAGATTTTTGTTCAACTCTTTTGCTTCAAATTGTGTACCCAGTTTTTAATTTTTTTCTTCACTGATTTCAGTTAGTGCTAACATACATTTTTTAATATGATAATACTGGGTAAATACCAACAAAATCTATAAATAGTGTTTGATGGTTCTGATTACTACAAAAAAAACTAATATTCTTGATAAAATAATAACTGACAATTTTAATAAAAAAAATATTCTGCACTTAGAACATTTAGATTGTATAACATTATACAAAATAAATGTATGTGGATTTGATAAGAAAAAAAATGTTCTGCAGCTTGCGGGCCCCCGCAATTTCGGGGCCAGGTGCAAGTGCAACATCTGCACTTACGTAAATCAAGGCCTTCCTCGAAGTGGAAAATACTCATCGATTTTACTTTGCGTTAACCTATACACAACTATGTGACCGGTATAACGCCTTCTGAACTCGTTTTCTATTATGGCAATAAAGCTGCAGTAATGATTATTATTGCTCTCGTTGCCCTTTTAACGATATAGTTTGTGAATGAATCACAATGCCCAAATTAAAATGCATCAGTTGGAAAGCCGTGTTGCACTATTTGAAAGAATAGATATTAGAAACTATCATTGAAAATCTAAAGAAAATTGGTATACCTCAAGAATCTTATAACAGAATAATTGAAACTAAGAGATTTCAACCTTATATAAGTAAACAACTAGTTCGTCATATAAAAAAATAAAATAATATTGCCACTGATTAATAGAATATTACTATTATTATAATCGAATTTATTATTTTTAAAATTGCCACCGTAAACTTAATTGTTCTATTGTCGTTTTTGTTTAACACAAAAAAAATGTCCATCAAAATTAAACGAACATAATAAGTATTTGTAATACTATAAAATAATTATTATTTTGCTAAAATGGTTCGAAAGAAAATTAAATAGTTTATTTAAGGTAAAAATACTTCGCGCTACCACTGTGTGTACGTATGTAATACAATAATATATGTCCTTTTTTTGTAATAAAAATATGTATAATGGATTTTAGTCAAAATTATTTTGAGTATTTCAAGTTGTAGAACAAGGCATAAAACTCGGGACAAAAATAAAAAAAAATTAGATACCCAAGAGTGAATTTAATAAACTTAAAATGTAAGGGCAATAATATATAAACCAAGTGTAAATTTACGACACCAAAATTAGCTTTTTATCTAAAACAGTTTAAAAGTTATAAATGTTTAAAGTTGAAAATTGTCTTACGTTACACAGCATTTGACGGTACCTACCTATACTTGGTATGGAAAAAACGAAAATTTTTGCAATCCAATATGTAATGTACACCTACACCACTTCAAAAAGCATAAATATTTAAATAAATTAAAAATGTGGATGACATACATCATAACCAGTATATTATACAGATTTGAATTTGAATAACAATGTCAATATTGATACTTGATAGATATCGTATATTGCAAACAATTTATAATCTTATTTATTACTTATACATTTTTACTAACATGCATATTAGGTATGTAATATTTATTGTTACTGTTCATTCTCATTAAAATGGTATACAGTATTATTTAAATACAATATGTTTTTTATCTCTTTTTTTTATTTATATATAGGTTGCTAATTATATATTATAATTAGTTGTATTTATTTAATTATGCCTGTATATTTGTATAATATTTGTCCGCGGTTTATTGAACTTGGTATTTATTGTGTACTCATAATAAACAAAGATTACCTATTATTAATAGAAAAACGTTACAGAATAAAACTTCTAAAGCTAATAGGAAGCCTTCTGAAAAAAAAAAAAGGTTTTTCAAAAATCGTGAGTTAAATTTGTACTAATATGGGTTGAGAATACTGAAGGATGAATTTAGAAATTTTAATAGGTAGTTATCCTCAGGGCACATGGATCGGTCGGGCCGAATAACATTTACATTAATTCAGTTTTAGAAGGATTACACATGCACAATGAAATAAAGAAAAATAATTTTAAACGGTCAAACCGATTTTAAAAATAATATCTTATATCAATATATTTTATTTATATAGTTTTATTGAACCCCCCCCGGTTGGTTTTTTTTGTAACAATCAGTCGGTATTTTCTTAATAGCAGGGAGCCGTCGGCAATTATACGACTTGTTAAAAACTGTTTTCCTACATTTTTTTAAAATTTTTTAGGCTATAATTTTTATAATAATAAAAAAAAAATTATAATATATATAGAAACGGGTCCTCGACAGTCGGCAGTATTTTTGATTTTTAAATCGACAATCATCATTTACCATTTACCGGAAACCAAGAATGACACATTGATGCTAGAATTTACTTTGTTATAAAAAATGTAGAATATAAGTGGACATTTATTCAATAACTATTGACTCCACAACAGTATTAGTATACAAATACGGAGAACCTCTTGATTTCCTTATTCCCACAGACTTCGACTGTACCCAGTTTACAATTTACTTGTTTACTGATTTAAAAATCAAAATATTGCCAACTTCTAAGGACATCTTGGCGAAAGGCAATTCGGCGAATCGTTTTTGGCAAACGGATATAGATATATACTTCAAAATTTATTTCTTCATTTAAATACTTCAAAAGGTCATAATTTTTATTAAATATGATGTACTACTAAATTGAAATAAAGATTATTATTATTTACTTAATTTTTTGAATTAGTGATAAACGCTGATTGATAGATCTAGCTTGATATCTCTTATTTCTAATGGTCCTATCACTGGATAGGTAGCATCCCTACTTCTAGATCTAGATATACCAGAACTTCATCGACGGATTATAGTTATAGGTATGTCGATAATCAAAAAAAAAGTTATTTGGAATTAAAATTACAGAATTTCATACAAATACCCTGACTACATAGGTATTCCAGGTTTTCAGAAGTCGTGGCAATCATACATAATAAAAAATATAAAATCCGTGATAGGTACATAGCTAGGTTACGATTTATTTATCTTTTTTTATACTAGCGATACCAATGTTGATATTTTTATCAACATCTTAATAATTTCGTTGTTTTAAATCAAGTTAAATCGAACTTCGCTCAGAATCGTTTTTCGTTAGCAACGGCTTATCGTTGCGTACAAATATGTATTAAATTATTCTCTCTATATATAAATATATCCTATCTACCAAACTTTCCACCAACAACAGTGGCACACCCGCCAATAGTATCAGATCTTTTTTTTATACCTATATAAAAACCTACTTACCTATGAAAATAGTATATCTACATAGGTATGCATACGAAATAAATCACCGAATGTCGTGATCTATGTATACGTATACTGTTTTGAATGTTGATTTTTATATTACTTTTTTATACATTTCGTTTAGTGGCGTGAACCGAAAAAATAAAAGTTACACGTCTATTAATGACGTCTGACGGGTGGGTATGCGTGATAGACTGCTGCTGCAGTAGGAACGCACGACGATACGTATACGAACGCGTACGTATCTGTTTACATGATTGCGAAACTGACAAATTTAAAAAAAAAAATATATACTCCCTATTGTAATAAAAAACGGACTATTATCGATTGACGAATAAATAATATTATCGTTTAGCGGACGCAACTGTGGTAGCAGAGGATCGTTTTTCATCCTGTTAAAATTGTTTGATTAACTTGCACGTGTTATAGGTATTAAAGAATAATAAAGATTCAAATTCACTATAAATGCTTAACGCTGAAAATATGACGTACAATTACAATCTTTTGGCGGAGTTATATAAAAAAGAAAAACATTTCCAAAAGGTTTACACTGAATTTCGGCCGAATTTAAAAGGTTAGTAGGGATTTGTTTTGGATAAAATGTGTCACTAATTAATGCTTTCCAGCAACACCAGTAACGGTAAAATTCTATGCCCGCCACGAAGCTAACGTCAATAAAGGTGAACCAAATCTACATTACATAGAACTATTAGCGCAAGCCAAATCTTCAGGAGCGAAAAATATATTTTCTTCTCCAATAACAGAAAATCAAAGGTAAAATAAATTGTTTTTAAACATTCGACCTTCTATTCTCCAGGCTAGAGATACATTGATAATATTAAATTACTATGCTGAGTTTCTCATTTGTTTTATCAAATATAAATTATAGGCAATAATAATATAATTAAACTGCCTTTTTTTTCAGATATGGGTGGTATGACAAACCATTAATTTCACTATCAGAAAACAAATTGCACTTCCCATACATAGAAGCACCAGAAATAAAATTAGACCTTATATTGAAAGAGAACTATAAAAACAAAGTGCCATTTTCTGGAATACCATTTAAACTATAAAAAAATAACAACATTATAGAATAAAAATATACCTTTGTATTATTATTTTTTTTTATTTTTTCAAAAAGAATTTACAATCCTAAAAATATAAAAAGAAATGATTTGCTACAAATATTTTTTAAACTATATTATAATTTTTGTTGTCAAACTTTTTTTTAAAATTATTATACTTATATCAGTTTAAATATTACCATAATAATAAAATATACAATATTTTAATAATATAGTTAACAACTATTACGCAAAATGTTCTTAATATCTTTACAGCAGGTTATTATATCTGAAGTTTCAGAACTTGGCAATGCAATTATTAATTCAATGTAATCTTGGATTTCTGTAGACAATGTTGGAGGATTTTTTAAACTTAAAAGAGTTCCAATCGCAACAAAACAACGTTTAATTGCATTAGGTTCACTCAGTTTCAGGCATAATGCACTAATAGTATTAGTTATATTTTGTATGGCCATTGCATCTTCCGACTGTTTAATCATAACACTTAGATTTAACAAAAATGTGGCGATAGCTACCTGTGAAAATAAATAAAATAGTTGTTAATTTAAATAAATTTGATTTAAGACTGTATAAGTATGGTTCATTATTTTACTATTATATGTGGTCTATAATTACAAATATAATACTTTTTTTTTTTAAACTTTATTTACAATTTTATAATTTAAATGTAATATTTACAAATTTCAAACATAAATTATTTTTAGTATTTAAACTAGCAACATAATAACTTCATTTATTCTTTAAATCAATTTAACAATTTTTAATTCTAAAAACAACAGATATGCACCAAAATATTATTTCATGATCACACTAATTTACAATTTGTATAAAAAAAACTTAGGCAAACTTTTGTAAAATTTATTGATATTATGCCATTTTGATTTGTATCTCAACGTATCAATATATTAAGTTATAGTAGGCTAAAAATCATTGTAGTTGAAGTCTTAAAAAATTAAAAAAAAAAAAAATCACAATTATTATACATTTATAACTGATACTATGATTTGTACTTTAAAAGTATGAACTAATGAAACTAAAGGCTGTTATATAAAACATGTGTAACCTTAAGGGGAATAATAATTTACTTGTTGTAAGTCGAAAATAGTTATTTGAGGACATAATTTGTATGTATAATAATTAAATTTCTTTATTATTCAATTACTTAAGATAAATGTCTATAAAAAAAAAAAATGTTATTAAATTAAATAAAAAACAATCTAAAAATATAAAAATCATTGTATTGCATTAAAATTATTATTTGTTAAATAACCTGTAGTTATAACTAGAAATAGCTAAAAAAGTAGTCATTATTATAACCCATATCAAATTAAAGATGACATCTGGAAGTAATATAGTAATATTTTATTCTAATCGATTTTATAATGAAAAATAAACCATAAGATGACAAAAATATAATACTTCTGTGGGGACTATAACATTTTAATTGTTATCAAGGAGAATTAAAAACAAGTCCTACTTCGAAAAAATATTATTTATAGATTATTGTACAAATTGAGAAGGAAGGGACATAGCATATCAAATCCTAATCAACAAGAATTATCATAAAAAAAAATGCAAACATGTTTACACCTTCTTTACTTCTGGTCATCTATTTGTATGCTTTCAGTTTGTCTAGGGATAGGTCGAACCCTAATTTTTTTAAAATTTCGAACTCAAACTCAAATTGACTTCAAACTTTAAAAATGTATAAATATATATAAAAGTTATAATAATTTTTAGTAATTGAAAAAAAAAAAAAAAAAAGGTTATTAATTCTTAATAAAGGATTCATTTATGAAATGTTTTTGTTCATTGTTGTTATTCAATTTGCATTTGTTTATTTGTATTTATAATTAGATATTAATTTTACAAGTTTTAGTTTATAGATGTATTTAAGCGATTCTTATGACTTAAATTTCGATGCTTCCTCAAAGGCGTTGAAGTGTATGAATTAAACTGAGTCTAACCCCTTCCCCTTTCCCAAGAAAATGTCTGCACAATAATTACATATAGTGCAATGTAATTATTGTTACTTGGATCTATAGTAAAATCATTCCATCGGTTATTTTAATAAATTAAAATAACACAAACTTTAAATTAAAATTAAAAAAATAAAAACAAATAACCATGCATTCTGGACAGAGGCAGAAACACAAAACGAAAAATCATTGTCGATACTTTGTTCTTATAAATCAAAATGTAACTGAAAATAAACCTCAAACCTTTATAATTTAAATTTTACTCAGCTTACACTTATAACACCAACATTAAAACTATAAGTTTTAATAAAATATATACTAATAATAATAATAATTCTGATAAAATGAAAATTTAAACCTAAAGTAATATATTTGAAAGTTCAATCTATAACTTTAATTGACTTTGAACTTTGATAAAAGTTCAAAAATTCGTGAGTTTAAGGACATATTGTTTCTAATTTCTTTTTAATCTTAACTCATTCAAATACTCATCATTTCTCTATTAATTAATTTATTTATGACTTCTTGAACTAATTACATTTTAAACTATTTATCTTTTATTATAATAAATAAATGTATGCTTTTATTATTAGACATTTTTAACTGCACTAAATTACTACTGAAGACTATGAAAAATAAAAATGTAATCAACAACGAATTATAATACAAATTTGATATTTTTAAATAAATCATACAACATTGAACATAAATAGTCAAATTTAGGACGGAAAACCATATAATTATCTGACTCACTTGTAAATGTTTCTGAGAAAGATTTTCTTTTTCCAATTTTTGGATAAATATTAGGATTAATTCATAGTGTTTCAGTATAAGCAGTTCTCCTTTTTCGTGAAACATAAGATTGCAAAGACATCTAATTGACAACATTTGATTTATAGGATTTTCAATGTTCTGAATATGTGGTAATAATTTTTTTATAATAATGTCATCGGAAGATAAAATATCATTTATATTCTTATTGCGCACGGCCAACCTAATAATATCCAATACAGGAAACAATATTTCTTGAAAAAAAAAAAAAAAAAATTGGTTAGGAATTAATATTAGTTTAAAAATAATGTACATGAAACAATTATTTACCATGAGGCCAGTCACATACTAGAGACATCAACAAATTAACTGTATCTATATCTGGATCAACGTTTGATTGAAGAAGACTTAAGATCGATAAAAGTTCATTTTCGCTCAGTTTATAAAACTCTTCTTTAAGCTCTGCATTAAAAGATTCCAACTTATCTAGAAATAAAATTACTAAATCATAATAAATTAAATATAACATTAGTTTTCGAATCAAACTTTGATTTCTGGAAAACAACTTTAGGTGAACGTTCAAAGTTTATTTTTAAAGTTTTAACAACATAAATCATAACTTATACTCGTTATAGGGATACAAGCAGCTTCCTCTGGACCAAAAATAGTTTAAACTCAAGAATTTGATTTATTTATAGGAGGATTAAAGCGATACAATTTTAGATGAATTTCAATATGAACCATATGTTGTGAGAAATGTTTTTTTAACTTAGTATACCCCTAAAGATGCTTTGTCAACATTAAATATGTCATATTATGGTAAAATAATTAAATAGGCATTATATATTTTCTTTAATATTGATCCAATTTTCCTGTTTTTCACATTTGATGAGAAATCTTCTGAGTAAATTGAAAAAAGATTTCCCTTAAGTACCTCCTCACACCGATTTTCTTTCAATAAAGGTACTAAACATAAAAATCTTAAAAAACTTAAAAGTGTATTATAAAATTTAGGATCTAGTTGGTGCATTTTTTATTTAACAAGCAGTTATATAATTGAGAAAAACTGGAAATATCAAGAAAATTTTCAAGCACTAAAAATTGTTTATTTTTTTTCGGTTAAAAATAATATTTGAAATCTGATGTTTTCACAGAATTTATTATTTATTCATTTATGTTTGTGGTCAAATTTTCAAAATATTCTGAATTTTTCAGCTATTATTTTATTGACATTTTTGAGTTTTTTTTGGTTTTATATGAATACAATTGGTAATAAGCAGTACAAGATTCCCAAGGAAAAATATTCATAAAGAAACGTGGTTATCTCCAGGAGGAAGATATAGTAGCCAAATTGATCATGTCCTTATAGAAAATAAATTTAAGACGATTATAAGAAACGTCAAAAGCTACAGAGGAGCAGACGCAGACACAGACCATTACTTGATCCTGATTGACTTCAGAGTAAAGATGTCCATGGAATGGAAAAAGAAACAAAAAATCCTCGGAAAATACGATGTGGATAAATTAAAAAATGAAGAAACATTACGGACATTTCAAGAAACAGTGACAAATTTCTTGGGAAAAAGAGAGGGCAGTGATAATGAACAGGTTGAGGAGTCGTGGAAAGTAATAAAAGCCTCAATAACGGAATCCGCAGAAAAAGTCATTCAACACACACAAAGAAAGAAAACAAAGAAATGGTTTAATGATAATTGCAAGAAAGGAATCAAGGAACGCAATGAAGCCAGAATCAAAGCAATCCATACACCAACCCCCGAGAACATAAGGGACTTCGAGAACAAACGAAGAGAAGTAACTACACTGATAAGAAAAGAAAAGAGAATAGCGGAANTTTAAAAATGGATTTATACCAGCTATACAGATGATAGAAGATAATAATGGTGCTCTAATTACTAGATCGGAAAACATGGCCGAGGAATTTAGAATGTACTTTAAGAAACTCCTTAACAGAGGCTCAACAACGGAAGAAGTAGGCGAACAAGACGACACCATACATTATACAGCAGAACCAGAAGTATTAAACCCAAGTTTAGAAGAGACACAGTATGCAATCCAGACTCTAAAAAATAATAAGTCACCAGGAGATGATAAAATTGTAGCTGAATTATTGAAGTTAGGAGGGAAAAACCTAACACAAAAATTACATCATCTAATTCAACAGATATGGATAAAGGAAAAGATACCACAAGACTGGAATGAATCATTGATATGTCCAAT